CTTTCCCTCTTCACACAGGACACCCGGGGCAGCAGATCCTGCAGTCACCCCACACCAGGCCCCAAGCCCAGGAGTTCCAGGGAGCCGCTCACAGCAGGCTCCAGTGGCACCCACGGCCCACGCTGCCTTGGGGCGCACGGCGTGGGGCAGCACCTCCACCACCGCGTGTTCCCCCGGCCCCAGGGGGCTGCTTCGCAAGCCCACATGAAGTGTTCTGACTGCTGGAGGAGCCCTCTGGAGAGATGCAGGGAACACCCCGTTTGGGACATCTAGTAGTGACGGGCAAAGAGTTTAATTTCAAAATTTTTTGAACCTGAAATTCTTCTCCGTTCTCCACTCTTCTTCATTCTGAACATGCAAATACACAGACATTCATTAGTCCCTCCACTCTCCTGAAATGTTGTTTGCATGGTGGTAAGCATTGGGGGTGCAGATGCAAACTTTTGTGGCTCGTTAAAATCTAGTTGATTTGCCATACAGGAATCTGAGAACATAACTGCATAAATGACTAACGTCACTCCCTGAACATTTCCCAGGCCACATCTTAATAGTAAAATACACCCATTTTGAAGTGTGAATGTTAGCATACCCATTTTATTAACAACTAAAGCGCAAACGTGAACTTTTTTTTTTTTTTTTAATGAGTCTTGTGTTATGAAGATAGCAGTGTTTTAGTACCAGGTATTTGATTGGGTATGCTTTGCTTTTACCCATATTTAGTCACTTACTGGACATGCAGTCCTGCATGCAGATCTCCAACTTCCTCTGCAAAGTTGCATCAATGCATGTCTCTATTGTTAGCATAATGGGGGTGTGCGTGTAAGAAATGGAAAAAAAAGGAAAAAAATCAGTACACAGACAGTACAGAGACAACTCAGTCCTGTACCAACTCTCACCCCTTGCAGGATTCTCTTCCTTACAGGAATCAGCACCAATATTAGTGTTTCCGTTACACTAGTTACCCTTCTCCAAGTCAGTTTCAGTTCCTGAAAAATAAGACTCTTTTACATAAAGCAATTTCTTGATGCTTTGTTTTATATCACTAAGTTGCTTTTGTGCCCGGTGCTGGAAGGCACCGTAGAAAGGGAAAACCCAGAAGAGACATACAGGATTTCCCTCCACTGGAAAGAAGTGGAAGTGCACATGGCAACAGCGGGTTTAACCAAAATAGGCTTTGTCTGCTGAAAGTTCAGGGGAGATCTTTCAGATTGACCTTAAGAGAACACAAACACATGCTTAAAGCTGAATACAGTTTAAGTGTTTCACTGAGCAAGGTTAAGACTGCTTATTTTTAACTACTTCTGTGTTTTTTAAGCTCCATTCCTCCCAAACTGCAAGAGGCCATATAGGCTCTTACACTACAGGCTACCTTGTAGTGTATATGGCTACTCACAGGCGACATTTAGCTAACACTTATCTTGATGGGCCAAGTTCAGGAGAGGGTGTACATAGACAAAGATATTTCAAGAACAAGAATTTAAAGTTCCCATCTTTGAGAGCATTCCTGACCCTACTGATTTAATTGTTTCTGCCCTTTCTTCTTCAGACTTTCTCCTACATCTTTCCTGTTCCCTCGATTTTCCACTCCTCACAAATTCTTCCATGCATTCTTAGTCCAAAGATGTGTGATTCATTTTGTGGCTTCAGCAATAGGCATGAAGTTCAGTACTGAAGAGGTCCAAATACCTCTAAAAGCCTGAATGCTGGCACTTACATACTGTTCTTACACATCTTAAATCCTGTGGATAGCAACTGGATATTTGCAATTAATATATTTCATTTCCCCCTTCTGAAGCCATTCTCCTGGATAAAGAATCTTAAAGCAAGAGCTTGAAGCTGACCCTTTCACACCTTGCAAGATGAAAGCTATTCTTGAGTCTTTCTCATTTTCTTCCTCGCCATGTCATAGTGCTTGAGTCTACCTGCAAATGAAGAAGCCCATTTCAAGGCTATGCAAAATAGCAGCTTTCTAGCCAGATGGGGATGTAGCACTGCAGATATCTTGCCAAGAAACAGGGGCTCTGGAGACCACTTCTGCTCTCTGCCTGGTTTGCAGGTGCACAAGGGGCTGTTCTGCAGCTGGGAGAGGGTTAAAGAAACTTAACTTTTATTACCAGAGGGGAAAAAAAAAAGGTTTCCATCTGAGCTTTCAAAAAGTTTTTGTGTTCCGTTTATTTCAGTTCAGTGCTTAAAATTGCCCTATTTTTACTCCATCTGAATCAATTTGCTATGCTGCTACAGTTGCTTACATCAATAGCCCCAATCCATCAGCTTGCTTTGCCACGGAGTCCAGGTGGCAAAGCAAGCTGATGCCTTTGTGAGCCCTCCCTCAGGCAGAGCTTGCCTTCACCCATCCGGCCCCATTTTTGTTGTCGAAAGGACTGACTTTTATCAGGCAAACGCACACACACACACACACACACACACACATATATACACCATGCACACACACTTAGCCTGTCATGGAGTGCCCTCAGCTGGTAAAATGCGATTATGACCATGTTCAAAGATAAATTCCACATCAAAATGGGAAAAATTGTAATGAGCCCCCAGTGTTTTCCCTGAAATATGTACCAACATACGTCTGAAAAAAACCCACTTTTCTAAAGCATCCTTTGCAAAGTGTGTAAAAGCTGTTATTTTAATAACATAGTGCTTTAGGATCTTTTCTGACATGTCAGAGGAGGATGCAGAAATTAGATCTGAAGGAACTATTTCTAACCCTATCCTACTGTATTTCACTGACTGGCCTAGGCTCATTTCTCCTCTTGCCTTCTGCTTCTCTAACCTATCCCCTTTATTTTATTCCTCTAGTTTAACTAGTTTAGCATTTCCAATCAGCTTCACACCAGCCTGCTTCCACCACCATAAAGTCTGCACCTTTATGTTCGATCCTTCCCTGTTTCCTTAGTTCTTTGTTTTCAGCAGCCATCTGACTTTGTCAGGGTGTCTAGTAGCTGCCTTAGATAAAGTATAAAGGCTGTGGAATTAAAGATACAGAACAAAACTTTTGATCTGATACTGCCATGCAGCTAATCAGTTGCCATTCCCTTGCAAGGTTTGACTGCCACCATGTTATGCACAGGCCCGATCCCGTTTGTAATGCCTTATGTAACTCACTGCAGAGCTGGTGCAAAGGACTCACTTCTGCTGTAATTCATTTACTTTCAATTCCTTTTCTGAAGCCTGACCAAGTTTCCAAAGACTAGAGTTCTTTCACAGTTTCTTTTAAAGTGATCAGCTCATTAAAAAAGCAGGCAGACTACCCATATATCATACAAGTGTATAAGATTGCATGAGTGTATATGCTTTTCTAGAAAAATTTCAAGAAAAGTTTGTTTCTAGCCCAACACACAATAAGCTGTGCTTTCTTTCTAACAAGGTATCAAGGTTTTTCATGGATTCCTGGGTCAGCAGGATTGTCAGTTCCACAGTTCCAGAGAGTATCACTGCAAGGCCCACCTTTCTTTTAGGTGTGGGGTCATAGTCTTTCCTTGGGCTATTTAGGATGATGTCTCAGAGCATGACTTCAGGCATTAGTCCCTACACTCGTAGAAGATCATTAGCATCTCCCTGTGTGCCACTTAAAAGAGTAAAGTCAGAGCACATGTGGTATTTTGCTCATTTTGTTCCCTATAGCCTAACTTGTTTTTCTTGCACATGCTAGATAACAAAAAAGACTATACTAGTCTCAAGTCACAGCAGTACTGCAAAGATAAAGGCTAAAGGCTCTGAAGTACTAAGGTTAATCATTTTTTTAAAAAACTTCGAAAGGATCAGAGATAAGAATATGCTTTTGCATGCAAAGCAATGCCATGTACCTCGCTGCCCTCAGTGAAAACTTCCACTGCTCCATTTGCCCCTATCTGATGCACTGGTTAGAATCAGGACATGAGCTATCCATCCATAAAAAATGGTTTGGTCTAATGGCCACAAACACACTAGGATACTTCATCTTCAGCTCTGTGAGACTCCTGGCAATTCTGC